TCAACACTGCCCTGTTTGTTTTAGCCCAACCCTGGGCACTCAAAACACATCAAACGTGGGGGTCTCCGAACCCTGTGATCAACAAATTCCTCCTGGAATCCCAAGTTCAGCTCAATGGGTTGCTCCTGTAGGGAATGTTCTCCAACACTCCTTGAAGGTGGGTGAGTGGAAGGATGTATAGACAAATCCTGTCCTCTCCACCAGGAAGGTCTGGTTCAAATGCCAGTGGAAGCCTTGCTGGAGCAAGGCCTTGTGGTGTGGTCTTAGAGCTCATCAGGGTCTACAACTTCCTGGGAAAGGGAAGAGGAGGTGCAGGCACTCATCTCTTCTCTGTGGGGACCACTGGCAGGACCTGAGGGAGTGGTCTGAAGTTGCATCAGGGGAGGTTTAGGTTGGATCTCAGGAAAAGTTTCTTCCCCCAGAGGGTGGTTGGGCACTGAACAGGCTCCTCAGGGCAGTGGTCACGGCCCCAAGGCTGACAGAGCTCAAGCAATTGGATAACACTCTCAGGGTTATGGTGGGATTGTTGGATTTGTCCTTTGCATGGCCAGGAGCTGAACTTATGATCCTTGTGGGTCTTTTCTGACTCAGGATATTCTCTGATTCTGTGGTTCTACCTTCAGAAGTCCTCCCTTGGTCCATTCCTGAGGGAACACTTGTACCTGCATCCATCTCCCTATAGCAAAAATACCACCTCAACTGCCCCTCTGAAGGTTACTGAAATCACCTTCTGTAATCCCACAACGTTACACAAAAAAACACAGCAGGTTTTGGAGGTCCTACCCAAGCATCCAGTGTTCCTGTGACCTGCATGTCTGTCCCACACACGTCCAGAGCTGGGTGCTCCACAGAGCTCATCGGCCTCGTGTCCACTGATTTCCTCAGCTTGACTCTTCCAGGAACAGGTCTGCATCAAGTATTTTTACTCAAAACTTGTCAGCAGCTAAGCTGGACTCATATAACCACAGAATGTTCTGAGTTGGAAGGGAGCCATAAGAATCATCTGGTCCAACTCCTGGTCCTGCACAGGACCACCCTAAGAATCCTACAATTTTTTTTCTAAAACTGTTTTTGCTAAGTTTTTTCATGCATATGGAATCATAGAATCATGGAATGGTTTGGGATGGAAGGGATCTTAAAGATCATCCTGTTCTAACCCCCTGCCATGGGCAGGAACACCTTCCACCATCCCAGGTTGTTCCAAGCCCCATCCAACCTGGCCTTGGACACTTCCAGGGATGGGGCAGCCACAGCTTCTCTGGGCAACCTGTGCCAGGGCCTCACCACCCTCACAGAGAAGAATTTCTTCATAATATCTCAGCTAAATTTCCCCTCTTTCAGTTTAAACCCCTTATTCCTCATTCTATCACTAAAGTTCCTGATGTAAAAATATGAAAAAAAATGTTGCCTTAAAACTTTTTTGTTCTGCTCTGTTTTCTGATTGCTTTACAAAGAACCAGTTTTTGGAACTTGAGTAAAGTTGAGGAAACAAGTTTCCCCACTCTCTGTTATTAAATATAAACCAATATTTTTAGATGTGAAAAACTATAAATTCACAAAAGGAAATTTTCATGCTTTTCTGAGTTACTGATTTCTCCCCAGATCTCTTTTCCCCTGGAAAAAAAGAATTTAAAAAAGGCTGGGAGAGCTACTATCAGTTACTTTTCTCATTTTTTTTTTTAATGAAGCTAATTTTAAAAACCATTAATCAGAAACCAAAAACACTGCATTACCTTCCATTCAGCTGCACTTATTTTTTGGAAAAAAAAATGTTTAAAAAAATGAAGAGTCCCCCAGCTGCAGTGGACTGTGAGCTCACCAGCAGCTTTTTGTGTCCGACAACATTTGTCTGCAGGTCTGCTTTGGGATTTTGAAGGATGGGTCACGTTGACTGCCCAAGGTTGCAGAGGCAACTTGGAGAGTGTGACCAGTGAATTTTGTGGGGGCTGTGAACACCCAGAGCTGTGCTAACGCCTTCTGTGGGTGGGTGGGTGGGACTGAGTGACCTTTGTGCGAGGCCTTTCTGGTTCCATTTCCCACCCCAGGTGGGTCGTGCTGTTCCCCTCTCGGCGTGTCTTTGACACGTGCGCGGGGGGACAAAGCTGAAGAGAGGTGTTTCCAGGCTCTGCAGGGTGCAGGAAGGGTTGCAGTGTCCCTCCCGGACACAGGAGCACTGTGGAGAGTTGCACAGGTCAGGTCATGCTCCCAACTCCTCTCAAACCCTGTCAGAGGAGTTGGGATGGCCCCAAGTCCACGATGGGACTTGCTGAGGTTGATGTTCCCACTCTGCTCCACCAGGGCCATCACTGTGTAGCAAGGCAGCTGAAAGGAGATTCTTGGCCTGATCTGAAGGCAGAGATGATGTGGATGATTATGATTAGATTTATTGCTAATACAGTGCCTAAATATCGGCAGTTTGGTATCTAAAGAACAGCTCCATCATCTCTCACAGTGGTTCAGCATCATCAGGTCGTGGTCCCTCCTGTTGAGCCACGAGCTTCAGTAAGACCCTCTGGCTTTCTAAACTGCTCACAGAAGTCCAAGTGTGGCTTGGTCCACTTAGTCTTAAATGTGGCCAGAAGTTTGTGACTAAAGGATTATGATATATGCACCATCAGCTAGAAATGTACAGGTTTACAGACTTTGGCCTTGCAGAATTCACAATTACAGAGCACCTACGGAGTTACTTTACGATTTTAGCTCTGTATTTGATGGGATCTTAGTGCTTTTACTCACCCACCCAAAAGTGAGGTTGGATGTACCCTGGAGGCTTCTCTGCCAGGGTGAAGATCCATCCAGAAGCTGTCTCCCACCTTGGGAGAGTAGTTGGTTCCATTGGCCCAATCTCCAACAGCATTTTGTTTCCTTTTGCAGGCACCAAAATCAATTGCAAACATCTCATTATTGCTATTAATTATGTATTTCATTAATTATGTGAGCAACTGGTGTTCTCATGTGAGGACAAAGTACATTTCCCACCAGAGACAGCGGAAGGGGAGTGGGAGGATGTGTGTGGGAGGAGGACACACCTGAAGATCTTTCCTTGCCATCACGCACTGAGAGCAACTCAAAACACCCCAAAAGATGCCTCCATCATCCTGCAGACGGTCCATCAATCCTCTCATAAAATCATCTTGGTGGCATGGCTGGCAGTCAAAGCATATTGCTGACCTGTGCTGTATCTCACACCCCCTAAACCTGCTGAAAAAAGCGGCGACTGCCACATCTGTATCTCCCATTTGGGAGCAGATATCAAAAAGTCCAAGATGCTCCACTGAGCCAGTAACAAGGAGTATGGATCAATGTCCCACATGTAGGTGGATTTTTCTCTCTTTCATGGTTGGTAAGAAGTGATATCTAAAACTTGTCTATCATCCAGCCTTAACTTAAAATGATACCTGGCTGTTCCCTCCATAAAAGAAATGGAATTCCAGCTACTCTCATGGCAAAGAACACCATTCTGAATCAGGAATCCTGTCACAAATCCCTCTACAAGTGGAAGAGCGGGAAAAGTTCACCTAATAAATCATGTGCCATTGCATTGCATGACGACCAGGTCTTCTAAGCAAAGCAAACCCTGGTTGCAACCTGGAAAGGAGGTTGCCAAATTAAAAAGAAATTGCTGCAGGAAATGCTGTGGTTGATTTAGTAGGTGAAACTTCCCCTCTGACTGTGTTGGCAGTGCCTGGAGCAGTGCTGAGACCTGGGGACAGATGGATGGGCCATCTGTAAACTCAGGTCAGAGAAAAGCTCAGGGAGGTTGGGATGCTGAAAAAGTTTTGATGTGGGGGTGAAAAATGTGTATTAGACAATTCTGAAATATTCCACCAGTTCCTTCCATTTTGCTCAGTTTATCAGTAACAATAAAAATGAGGCAGAAGGGAGAAGGCATTTAAAAAAATAACACCTTAAAATGCTGAGATGGCTCCATTAGAAGTCTCATTTCAGAGTCCCAGTTTTTGAAATATTAGATGCGAAAAAAAGAAAAAAAAATTCCTTTGCTGGAACTTCTTCCCTCCAAGTCTGGTTTGCTGGGAGTTTTTTGGACATCTCTGTTGGTGTCTGACTCTCATGGCACAGTGCCAGGCTGCCATTTGGAAGGGTCTCTGGACCTGCAGTCCCTGATCCTCTCATGACAGACTCTGAGGTAATTTGGCAAGAAGAGAACTCAATATGTCTTTGCTCAGCTACGAGTACGTAGGGTTTAGGGTTTTTTTGAGCATTTAGTCCACACCTTCCTATGCCTTTGGTTCAAAGTAGAGGCTGGGGGCAGATTTTGGCACTGGATGTTGTAGATACCTTGTGTATTTGTGGCAACAGCACCTCAGGAATGCTGGCTTCATCTGCCCTTTAATTTTTGAGGGCTCTGAGCAGGCTGATTTTGCCATATTTTGGCCATGTTGGCTACCCAGACCCACTATTATCCTTGAATTATTGACTGGAGCTGAAATTACATTTATAGGATCACAGTTAAACAGCTCTCAAAGCCCAAGTTTGGCACCCTAATGTGGACCAAAGGATGATCCATGGAGAGGATTTGATTCATTTATGTCTAGCGATCCTTGAGGTGTCCAGGAGATCTTAGATATGCAGGTGGTATTGGGAAACATAATCCATGACTTATGGGAGACCCACACTTTGTGAGGACCATTACCTTGTCAGCTGGGATCTCTGCATTGGAAGAGGGGATGTATCCAAAGCCTGTTTTGTTGTTTGTTTTGTTTTGTTTTGTTTTTCTGATGACTTACAGTGTCTGTCTGAGCCTCATTTGCGAAGTGTGAAACACCAGAGTCACATGGGAAGAGAAACTATGGGGTTCACAAGGTCTGAGGTAGCAGGAGGCTGTAGACAGAGTGGTTTTAGACTCTTCTCTCCACTGTCCCATCATCCTGCATTCTCATCTTCTCCAGCTTGTTATTGAGGATTGTTTTGTCCCTCGGTGCCTGCACCTCTCCCCAGGAGCAGTCTCATTAAACAGGGATTTCTGCTCTTCCTTCCAGGATGGGGTTGCTCGGGAGCAAAAATCAGCTGATGCCCAGTGAGAAGCACACTCCTGGAGGCAACCTAAAAACCAGGAGTAAACCTCCTCCTGCCCCCCCCAAGGTAAGCCTGCAGGTTTGTGTCCTTTTGGGCTCCTCCACAGCTCAGTTAGTGACTGGAGTGATGCAGGCAACATTTGGAATCATAGAATCATAGAAGGGTTTGGGTTCGAAGGGCATTTAGTCCAACCCTCTGCCATGGGCAGGGAAATCTTCCACTAGACCAGGTTTCTCCAAGCCCTATCCAACCTGACCTTGAACAATTCCAGGGATGGGGCAGCCACAGCCTCTCAGGGAAACCTGTGTCTGGCATTGCCTGGATACAAGTACTCTGAGCTGGTCCTCCCAGATGATCCCTGTATCTTTTGGACAGGGATGGGAAGGGTTCTGAGGGGCCTCTGTATATTAAAAAGAAAAAAAAAAATTAAAATCCAGCGTGTGGGGACTTTGAAATATCTCCTGATCAGTCCTTTGCAACCCAAGCTGACGTTGCTGACTTGCAAACGGCACAAAGATGGGTCAGATTCAGGCTAAAGATTCAGAGCTGCAAAACCGCAGTGGAAACTTCACCATCCTGAGGGCAGAGGGTTCACCAGGGAGGGTCCACAGCCAGTGTGGGTTGGGGTGAGCTGAGAATCAGAAATGCTGGGCAGCTGCTGCTCCCTTCGAATTCACACAGCCTCTGCTTGCATGGACACAAGGCACTGGCTCAGGATTTAGGAGACCTCAGATGGCAAACTCCTCGTTTGAATTTTGCCCATTGCTTTGTCTGTCTGGTGCTGTACAGAGGGTGTGAGGCTGTTTTCCCTTTCCTTGCCCCTGTCAGCCCTGCATTCAGCAGCCAGCACAAGAGAAACTCCAGTGCAACTGTCCTGTGAAAACCACCTCGGGTCTTGAGCCCTGTGAGAGGGGAGGAATTGCCTGTCGTTGCGTTTTATGACAGGTGGAGATGTTTTTCACTCCTTTCGCTTCATTTCTGAGTCCTCCCATGGTTATACAGCCCAGATTTCATGACAGCAGATGTCAGATTGACCAAGAAGGTGCTATTTTCCTAAATTTCCTTCTCTCCAGCTCACTGGAGAGGAGCAGCTATCAGTATAAATATAGAATCATCGATCACCTTCTGCCACTCATTATTTTTTGCCACAGGCACTCAGTTCTCACAATGTCAGGGGAAGTCCATCTTTCTTTCAGTTAAATTGGAGGTGGCAGTGGATGAGCAGCTCTCCCACCCCTCACTGCTCCTAAGTATGGGTCGAAGGGTGGCATGGACAGAAAACACTGGATGTTTTTAATTCAGTGTCTGCATTTCACTCCTTTTGCACATGTATAAAAATACCTGGTAGTGGTTGGACAGCCACTACATTCACTGGGTCCAGTACCTTGGGCTGATCACAGGACTGGTGTTTGGAGTTGGGTGGAGGCCAATTTCAAACTCTTAGCCCTGAAAACAAGGTGGTTCCATCCCAGCTGGTCTGGAATGATCTATGGCCAGTTTGCCACTTTCAGTAGCTGGGCCAGACCAGGGCCCATGTCAGCATTTTGAAAGCATGCCCAGAGGAGTTGCAGGACCTTGTTGCTGTTTAATGGCACAGTCTGCAACTTCCCCACAAGGCAAAGTGGAGGGGCAGGCACTGATCTCTTCTCTGTGGTGACCAGTGATAGACCCAAAGCAATGGCATGAAGCTGTGTCAGGGGAGGTTTAGGTTGGATATTGGGAAAAGGATTTTCAAGGAAGCACTGACCAGGCTCCCCAGGGCAGTGGTCAAGACCCCAAGGCTGCCAGAGCTCAAGGAGTGTTTGGACAATGCTCTCAGGGACAGGGTGGGATTGTTGGGGTGTCCTGTGTAGGACCAGGAGTTGGACTCTGTGATCCTTGTAAGTCCTTTCCAACTCAGAAATCATTCAATCATAGAATCATAGAATATCCTGAGTTGGAAGGGACTAACAAGGATCATCAAATATTCTGTGATTTCTATGATTTCTATGATTCTACAATTAATTTGCTAATATAGTCACTTTTTGAACATACCCCTGAACACAGAATATCCCACGAGCCTTGGGACAGTTATGGCAAAGAGTATCTCCAGTTTTCTGCTTCAAATAATATTGCAATTGCCATTTCTCAATGGGACCATTCACGTCTCATCCCCCACGGATCTGAAATCTGGTACCAGTGAACAAGGGTTAGATAGACCAGGCTCCAAGCGAGTGGGTGGCAGATTTGTGCTTAAATTCAAAGGGAAGCCAAGGATTATTCAAACTGACTCTTAAGACAGCCATGAACACATCATGGCAAAATGTGCTAAAGCCATGAGGACACATCCAGAGCCAGACACAGGGGCTGTTGACTGACTCCCACTTGTCTGTGAAGCTGAGAGCAGGTCTTCCTGAAAACACAGCAAAAAGTAATAAATAATTTTTTTTTTCCCCCCTCTATTTCTACCCAAGGGCAGACAATTTATCAAAACCCCTCATCTAAACCAAGCCTCTGCAAAAGGTAAGATTCTGTTTTCTCTGCCTTCCCGTGGGGTTTCGCAAGGTGGTGGTCCCCAAATGGCAGGTCTTGAGAACAGGCAGTCACGTCACAGGCCTGTGGTTTCTGTATCTTCAGCTCTGCCAAGCAGGGAGTTTATCAGCGTGTTTCAGAAAATGCACTTTACATCACTGAGTGCCTGCAGCTGCCAATTTTTCCCTGCTCATCAAAGATATTAAGAGGGCAAAGCACCAATCTTTCATTGGAGCGAGATGATCCCTATAAGGCCCCTTCCAACCCAAACCACTCTGTGATTCTGTGATTGGTGGAGAAAAGGGAGATCTGAGAGTTCAGCTGTGTGAGATTTCCCTGCCTGCTGCCCTGTCTGCAGCGTGACAACTCATGGATGCTGTATCCAGCCAGCTGAAAATTCCAGAGGAAATAGCAGGCATCAGAGAGCCCAGGGAGACTACAAAGAGAAGGAGAAGAAAGGAAAGAGTTTAAAATAAGGATACACAGACCCTCTGCTCGGGGACTGTCTCTTGGCTTCATCCACCTGCAGGTCACAGATGGTGTTTGGAGATTATTGTCTTTCAGCAGGGAGCCCTTTTCTACCTCTACCCAGCCCTCCAAAAGCAGCTTGTGTGATTTCTGTCAAGGAAGTTTTGCAGATTGAGGGCACAGAGAGAGAGATAATTAGAAGAGGAAAAAATAGAGGAAGCTTGGAAGAAAGCTTTCAGCAACACCTAAAAGTTCTTCACGTGGATGGAAGTGTAGGATTAGGGGAGACAGGGCATGAGGGTAGGAAAAAGGGGGGTCATGATTAAATGGGATGGTGGAATGACAGAGGTGGGTCTTCTTAGGTCTTGTGGATGATGATGGAGAGTCCCTGCCATGGGCCAAACGCAGGTACTCCTGCAACACCAAAATCTTCAAATTTGGCATTTGTTATGGGGGTAAAAGTTGTGGGAGGTGAAGCTCCTACACCATGTTAATAAAACCATGCTTTCTTTTGCAAAATCATTTTCATGTCACATTTCCAAGTGCCCATGGTCTCCTACCTCCCAGACTGAGCAGCTTTTGACAGTTTTTCACAGTTTTTATCAACCTCCTCATGCTGGTCAGAAGCACAACACGAGTTATTTTCAGGGAGGCGGCTTTTACTTCTGCTTCACGCCAGAAGGCAGAAGTGGAAAGATGCTAAAAAAATGGATTAAGTACCATGTTAGCCATTTTCAGCTCTCAAAAATATTTTGGTTCATTAGATTCAGTTCCAGTTCTGGGGGAATATTCACACTGACAGTCTGGGAAACTTCCTATTTTTCTCTACTGGTGTCTGAGTTTCCCAAAATGATGCCACACCTGACTCTATCTTGTGGGGCAAAATGGGCTGATGGGAACCATGCAAGATATCAGATATCAGAGATAAGCTCCTGAAAGAAAGGGATTCAAGTGAATTCATAGAGAAAGCACAAAATCCAGGCAATCACACCATATATATAATAAAATAAAATAAAAAAAAAAAAAAATCAAAGAGCTGAATTATATCCTGTGGGAGCACTTAAAATTCAGTCAGGCAAAATTATTGACTATGGAAGCATGGCATGAAATGTAAAATCAAACCCATTTTTTTCCTTTGTTGTTGTTGTTGTTTTGTTTTGTTGTTTGTTTGTTTGTTTTTTCCGCTTTCCTTGCATTTTGATTGTTTAGGGATGTGGTTTTTTGGTAGGGATTTTTTGGTGTTTTTTTGTTTGTTTGTTTGTTTTTATCTGATCTTGGAGTTGAATTTGTTTCACACTTTCCAGCTTTCACACCACCATCCCAGAGATAACATATTTATTTATTCTTAACAAAAGCCTAATTCTTCCTGACTTTATTTATCCTAATGGAAGCAACACAAAGGCAGGCCAGGGGTGCACAACTCTGGATTCAATGTGGTGTGTGTGGCACCACCAATCCACTTTTCATCTGGGGAGGTTCTTCCACCGTGTGAGTCTCTCATTCATTTTAACAAGGTTCCCTAAGCAATCCCAATGTTTTTAAGGCTGATTCTAGGTCCCCATGGAGTCAAAACTTTAATTCTGCACCTCTAAAGCCCCCAGTGCAGCAAAGTCCTGGCCTGTCATGGTGGACCTCAAACATCACAGTGCCATGGCTACAGCTGCTGCTTGGATAGATAAGACACAGAAAACAGGTAGAATAACCCTGCCCTTGCCCTGCCAGCTGCTCACAGCTGGATTTAAGTCCTACTGATGGAGAGAGCTGATCACTTTGGGTGCTTGCTCTCAGGCATTAAATACCTGTGACCTCTGTGAGGTCGTTTCTTCTGATGAGGAACTGCGACTCCTTCCACTTCTTCACTTGCCTTTTGCAAACCATAATATGAACAGGACTGGTTTTTTTCAGGGGGTGGGAGCTTGGCATGCTCTGGAACTCGAGTTCTTTTGAGGCATCTCAAGGTTAACAGCGAAATTCTTAGTAATTTCTACTGTTGTTCCTTGAATATGGTTCTGAGTTTGAAAGGGATGTTGTCAGAACCAGGAGTTTGAGTTTAACTGGGAAAAGGAGGGGTTGCTGATTTTTCAATGAGAAGTTAAAACTTCTCATCAAAAATGGGCATTGTCAATCATAAGCAAGAGGAGAAATGACTATGATAGGGAATTGCCTCAAATGTTCAGATTTCCTAATTAGTAAAACCCACGACTTAAGGTCTGATATGATTTTATGAGGAAAGCAGGAATTATCTGCAGAAATATCCACTGTGACAAAACACAAGGCAGGAAGGCATTTGACAGGGAGCACTCTGGCAATGCAGGCCTGGATATCCCAGGAAACACCTCCTATACAGCCACACCTGGGCTTTCTGATCATTTGGGAGATGCAACAGTGCCAGTCCATGGTTTTCTGCATCTCCACCGATGGGACCTGAAGGTGTTTGACTCAGTGACAGCAGCAGGTGTGGGTTTTGAAGACATCATTTTCTATCACAGCTTCACCGTGGTCTGGAGCACAAGTCTGATAAGGAGCAGCTTGGGGGGCTCAGCCTGGAGAAAAGGAGGATAAGGAGGGACCTTCTTGCTCTCTACAACTCCCTGACAGGAGGGTGGAGCCAGGTGGGGGTCGGGCTCTGCTCCCAGGGAACAAGGGACAGGACAAGAGGAAATGGCCTCAAGTTGCACCAGGGGAGGTTTAAATTGCATATCAGGAAACATTTCTTCACAAAAAAAAGGGTCATTAATCATTGGAGTCCCCATCCCTGGGGGGATTTAAAAGCCATGTAGATGTGGCACTTGGAGACATGGTTTGGTGGTGGGCTTGGCAGTGCTGGAAGAATGGTTGGACTTGATGATCTCAGAGGTCTTCTCCAACCTTAATGGCATCACAATTCCAACCACCCCATGAGGCAGAAAGCCAGACCCACTTTCAGCAGCAGTAACTCCACAGCTCAGTGCAGCCAGCTGGCCAACACATGTGCTGTGACTTGTCACTTATACCATGAGCATCCTGGAACGACTCTAAACCAATGGATGGTCCTCTGGGAGACCCTGGATCTCAGCCTGGCTCCTTGCAAAAGACCTCCCATTCGTGACAGGGCAGCAGTGGGAAGATTGGTTGAATTATTCCTATTAAGCCACCAAACTGGCCCACAGCCTGTGCAAACTGAGCTGGTATCAAACTCTCCTGGCAGCAGCTCCGAGCCAGGATGGATTTGGCTCCCAATCAAAGTCTGGGGGCTGAGAGCATTGTCTGCAAAGCACTCGCTCCTCGCAGCCCCCACGGCTTCTCCGCCGTGGAGTCACTCAGGGCCTGACTTGATCAAATAGGCCAAGAAAGTGTTATCAACCCTGTTTCTCAGTGGGGTGACGACTCAGAGACAGGAAGAGTCGCTTTCATCGTGAGATGTCGAGTCTCGCCGGCTCAGGCAGAGAGGCCTTTTCTTCTGGCTCACTTTCAGTGTTTCTCAAATCCTATTTTGAGAAGGAGATAAGAGGTGATTACAGTATTTTTTCAGCATAATAAACCTTTTTGTCCTTGCTGTATTTGGTTTTTTCTTCCCCCACTCTCTCTTTTCTCTCTCTTTTTTTTTTATTTTTTTAATTTCATTTATTTGCACTTATGTCAGTTGCTTCAAGATCACAGCCACATTTTCACTTTCTGGAACACACAGCCACTCTGTCCTTGAAGATATTTACACATTTGCTTCTATTTTTCAAAGAACAAGTGTGACCCACTGCGTTATTTTCCTTTCAAGAGGATCAGGACGGTGTGTGTGGATCACCAGGACTGCTGTGGACACCTCACAGTAGGCACATGCCCCAAAACCTTTCATGTCAGAGAAGCTGCGTGATAACAACTTTCTCAAGGAGGCAGCAGGAGTTTGGGTGCTTTGCTAATTCGAGATCCCTCAAGGGGAAGCCCCCAACTGTGTGAGCTATTTTAAGACTTCAAAGCATTCTCCCTCATGACTGATCATCCTTTTCCCATACTAGGAGTGAGTGAGGCTCTGCTGAAACCCCCTCGTGGATCTCCCAGTTCCTTCTGGAAAGCCTGAAGGGAAGAGTTCAGGGCTTTGGTTTACAAAGCTACATTTCCCCCCACGCTGACCCTTTCTCCTCCCTAACAAATCTCCAGCAGAGCAGCAGCCAACCTTGCACAGGCACAAACCCCAGGCTGCCCCAGAGACACGTTATCTCGTGATGACAAAGGGCCAGTCTGGCTCTCTTGCTGGTGGCATTATTTGAAAAGGTCACACAGAGACTGTGCCTTGACAGGCTGTTTTGAAAAATGCTAATAATAGGCTGGCCATGGTTCTGGGTGCATTAATTAGGCTGAGTACAAGCTAAAGCCTTCCTGCAGCAAACAATCTCCATTTTTTCTTTATTTTTCTTTTCCTTTTTTTCTTTTTCTTTTCCTTTTTTTCTTTTTCTTTTCCTTTTTTTCTTTTTCTTTTTTCCCTTCCCTTCCCTTCCCTTCCCTTCCCTTCCCTTCCCTTCCCTTCCTTCCCTTCCTTCCTTCCCTTCCTTCCCTTCCTTCCCTTCCCTTCCTTCCCTTCCCTTCCTTCCCTTCCCTTCCCTTCCCTTCCTTCCTTCCCTTCCCTTCCCTCCCTCCCCTCCCTCCCCTCCCTCCTCCCCTTCTCTTTTTCTTTATCTTCTTTTATCTTTTTCTTTTCCCTTGTATTTTTATTCTATTTTTCCTATTCTCCTTCTTCTCATTCTCCTTCTTCTTTTTCTCCATCTTGTTCTTCTTTTTCTTCTTCCTTACTCCTTTTCCTTCTTCTCTTTATTCTTGTCTCCTCATTATTCTTTTCTCCTCCTTCTCCTTCTCCTTTCCCTTCTCTTTCTCCTTCTTCTTCTCCTTTCCCTTCCTTTCTCACCAAGGTGCTTAGGTTTGACATTTCTGTTCCTCTGTGTGTGTGCTGCTCGTCTTTATAAACTTTGCTCTTCCCCAAAATAGCTGCTCGTTTCTGCTTCGGCAGCTGCGAGTGCAGCAACGTGAACAGTTGCACAACCTGGGCGTGCAACCCGAGCCCCTCAGCCCCGCCCCACAGAGCTCTGCCCCCGGGGTGGCTCAGAACAACCTGGCACTCGCACGAGGTGTCAAAATTTAGACCTCAGTCCTGATGGGTTTTAAGCAAAATGAGGGACACAGAGCACGGGTTTTGTGCTCTGGAGCATCTCAAGTGCACCGGGGCCAGGCAGGGGAAGGGTGTCCTGGAGCATCCACCACCCCCGTGGGATTTGCAGCTGGGTGGAGCAGGCAGGTGCTGCAGAGGTGTTGGGCTGAAAGCACCAGAGTGACCTGACTGTAGTGGCTCATCTGGGAGCACCTCTGCTCTGGAGACAGGCTGAGAGAGGTGGGTGGTTCATCCTGGAGAAGAGTAGGTTCCAGGGAGACCTTAGAGCCCCTTTCAGTGCCTAAATGGGGCTTATAAAAAGGAGGGAGAGAGACTTTTTATAGAGGCAGATGTGACAGGAGAAGGAGCAACAGTTTTAAACTGAAAGAAGGCATGTTTGGATTAGATATTAGATAGTAGGAAGAAATTATTCCCTGTAAAGTTGATGAGACCCTGGCACAGGTTGCCCAGAGAAGCTGTGGCTGCCCCATCCCTGGAAGTGTTCAAGGCCAGGTTGGATGGGGTTTGCAGCAACCTGGGATAGTGGAAGTGGAAGGTGTCCCTGCCCATGGCAGGGGGATTGAAACAAGACGATCTTTAATGACCCTTCCAACCCAAACCAGTCTGTGATTCTCTGATTCATTCTGTGATCTGCAAGGAACAATGTGCAAGAGGGATGGCAAGATACTGGTAGAGCCCAGAGCATCTGGAGGGAGACATAAATCCTAGAAATGGGCTCAAATGACAGAAGAAGAAATGTCTTTATACCTTTTTCAATCAAGAAAGCCTCATTGTTTTGAGTCAAATTCCAGAACCACGCTGGGAAATGTTGCTCCAGCAGTTTTCATTTACTGCCGTGTGAAACTCAGGCCGAACACCGACAGGTTATTTATGACCCTTCTTATTCCACACAAACCCTTTTTTTCTTGTTGACACGCTGTGTTTTGTGAATGGGGGAGTCTGGAGTGCTTTAAAAACACATCCACAGGGAACTCTTTGGTGGATCAGTGTTAATCCCTGGGCAGAGGTTGTGGTGAGCAGGAAAGCTGGGTTGGTGCAAAGGTTGGATTTGGGGGACGGTGGGGGTGACAGACCCCTGTGTTTGGGGGTGTGAAATGCCCCATCATATACCCAGCAGGGTATCACCTCTCTCAGCAGGGAACAGGCTGGATCCAATGGTGTTAATCCTTCTTTCAGATAACTTGGTTGTGGTTGCACTGTACGATTTTCCTGCCTCGAGTGACCGTGACCTGGAGCTGGTCAAGGGGGAGAAATTGCAAGTCCTCTCCAAGTAAGTGACCTTCTGCCAGAAGGCAGCTCAAAATTGAGCATGGTGAGGCTGGGAAAGGGGGAACTTTGGGGTCAGACACCAATTTGCAGCTCATCAGAGCTGATCTTAGCTCCAGAGTGTGAACATGCAAGGTGATGTCTCTCTGCAAGGTGACACTTCCAGGGCCAGCGATACTCTGAGGCTGCATAATGTCCCTGCGTGGGTGGTACTGGGACCTTCCATGCTGGGGCTGCAGAAGCAGCATAAATAACAACAACAGAAAAAAATAGATCCTGTCCTGTTTCATATTTTGTGCTGATGGTGCTTTTGCAAAGGATGTGGGTTGGGTGTAGTCAGAGGAAAGGACAGAATCGAGCCAGAGAGATGTGTGGTTTCATTTCAACTTCTTCTCAAACTCACACAGAAGAGGCCCACTCCATAACAGGGCTTGGGTCCCCCAGACCTGGTAGGGCTGCTCCATCCCTGGTGGCCTCTGGAGGTGACATTTCTCACCCAGACACCAGGGGCTGGCATCCAAGGCCAGGGAGATGGAGAGCCCATGATATGAGGATGGCCTTTGGTCACAGCTTGGGCTGAGCCAGCCATGGGAGAACAAAGTGAAGTGTCTGGCAGATGAAGGAAGGAGCAAAAAGGGCCTCAATGCCCCCATGCAAGAAGAAAAATAACCCCACAGTGACCCAGATTTCCCTCCTCTCGCTTGAGGCACATAGCAAAGGTTTGGGTCTGTGGTCATTCTGCAGGAAGAGTCTGTCACCTCTAGAAATCCTTGAGAGACCAACAGCCTTCAGCCTCCTGGTGATCCTAGGGAATCTGTAGAGTGGTTTAAGGAGCCCTAGTCTATTTGCAGTACTCTAAACCCTACAATCCATGTTCTCACAGCCTCAAGCCTTGTCCTTAAGCTTCCTCCAGGCACTCACACTCTTTCCTCTGCTCACTTTGCAGTGATGGGGACTGGTGGCTGGCCAAGTCCCTCAGCAGTGGCAGGAAAGGCTACATCCCCAGCAACTTTGTGGCACAGGTGGACAGTTTGGAAGAGGAAAAGTAAGTATGAAAGCTAATGAACCCTGCTGCAGTGCCCTGTCTCTCCACAAGCTATGGAAAGGGCTTTACTTGCTGGCAGGAAGATGTCATTGCTGGTCTGGGCAGCAAGAGGTCTTCCATCATCCCAAACAACGCTGCCCTAAAGTCCAGGAGAACTGGGTGCCAGTTCCCAGACCCACAGCCTGGTGCTGTTGGTTTCATTAGCCCAGATGCAGCTTCCCTGCAAGGAAGATGGAAAGAAAGACTTGAGTCAAGAGGGTTTATTATGTCTATAACACAAGAAGCAGAAGAATTTTTCTTTCATGACTTATCCTCTTTTATGGCATTCAGCTATAAGTGATCAGTCTGCCTGCAATCTCCCCTTGGAGGGACTCAACCATCATTGAATTCAGCAAATATTTGGCAACACACAGAAATGTGGTTGAGACATAAAAGTTCTTTGTATCCAAACTTGCACTTTCTCCTGCTTAGGGGATCCTGCACATGCCACATGCCATCTACTTTCTGCTCTGTCTGAATTGGCAGGCTGTGAAACAAGCCCAGAGTGACCAAAATCTGGTGTTAATCTACCAAAACCAGTCCATTGCTGCCTCTCTCCAGCAGATAACAAACTATTTGCTGATAAAAATAACCCTCAGTTTCACAATGTAATGGCAAAAAAACCAAACCAAACAAACACTTCCCCCCCACCCCCCGCCCCAAATCAACCAAACATACAAACAAAAACCCACCAAAAAGCAAACCAAAAATAAAATCTAAAAAGAACTAACTGGAAGTAATACTTTTTATTTCTTTTTTTTTCTTTCTCCCTTGAGCTTTTCCTTCTCAATGATGGTTTTACCTTCTCTCTCTCCCAGGTGGTTTTTTAGAACTCTGAGCAGAAAAGATGCTGAAAGGCTGCTCTTGTCTTCTGGTAACAAAGTCGGCTCTTTCCTTGTCCGAGAGAGCGAAACCAGCCAAGGTGAGACCCAGAGAGCAAAGGTAACTCCTGCTATTGCCAGGGCTTGGAAAACCCGCCACACCTGAGCTGCAAAGTCCAGCTGTGCCAGAGGTTCTTGGATCTGGCAAAGATTTGCTCAGGATGCTACTCACGTGTGTCGTTTTGGCTGTGGGAAGAGTGGCTTTTGCCACTGCAGTTCCTGGCAGAGAGGCAGAAACACAAATAAGCAGGAAGGATTTTCCAAAACCATGTGTAGGGGTTTTCTTTTCCTTCTCTTCCCAGGGAAATGTTACCTTTCTTTGGCAAAAAAGGAGGTACTTCTGTGCACTCTTGAAGAAGAGTTTCTCCTGTTTGCAATAGCAACTCGCAGAATTTTGGAAAACGTCTTTTGGTGGAACATTTTCCCAGGGAAGACGTGTTTTTGCTGATAATGTGTAGCAGGGGGAAAGGGCAGAGCATTGTGGTCACCTCTCTTAGGCAGTGGATATAGTCACTAACCATAATACTTCATCATGTAATTGCAGTTTCCATATTCTGTGCTGTTAATCTGTAGAGTCTGGGAGTTAGTTTGGGTTGTCCCATGGGAATTTCTTATTGTTTCTTTCCTACTGTTTTTCCTCCTTGCTTCCTCTGGGCCAGCTGTGTGTTTACACCTTGGAGGAAATGATGCCCATGGTGGTCCCCCAGTTCTGCTCTGAACAGATCCGTACAGTAGTTCAGGAAAGGATTTCAGTCTAGCTGTGATTTGGTTTCTTTGCTGTGAAATGGATGCAGGAGTCTTTCCTTGACATGTAGAAAAAGGTGGTTTGTGCCTCCCCTTATTATTTAGAATAATAAAATTGTTTAGGTTGGAAAAACCTCTGAGACCATTGAGTCCAACTGTGACTCAATCAGTAGCATTGGAGCACCTATCCAAAGCAATATGTGTCCTTCTTTTCCTTGACTTGCTTCCCAAACACTTCTACAAGACCAAACTACGAGTGGGAACAAACAGGATCCTCCATCTTACAACTGGTCCTTGCCCACTGTGGCTTCTCCTTCCTCCTTTTGCCTCTATTTTTCACTATTCACATGGGAGTTCTCCAAGGCAGGATCTGTTCCTTCCACTATGGGTACATCACTACCAGCAAATTAAACAGTGCCAGAGTCTGGATGGGACAGCTGGAGTCTCATCTTCCTGTATCTGTCTCCCTGACCCATCAGGCAGTATCAGCACTGTGGCATCCTACTTGGAATGTCCCCCTCTGCCCCGTGCCTGGGCTCACCTCCACACATCCCTGCTGAGCTGATGCCAAGCAAGAAGGCTGCTTTCCATGGGGATTTGTGGCTTTCAGACTTTTTTAAGAAGACTCAGGTCAGGAAACATTGAAGAGATTGTTCATACAACTGACTTTCATTTGCAAGTCACTTTTTGTGCTGTATCTTGGTTTCCCTGCTCCCTTTGTGGTGCCTTTGCAATGCTCAGGCATGGACTAGTCACCACATGCTGGTCTCTTGTTTATCCCCTTCCCACTCTCCCTTTGTTTGCTGGGGTATTTGGGGAGTTTGCATTTCACCCAGGAAGGGTAGGAAGCAACACATGGATGGGATCAGACCTTTCCCTACCCTTGTTCAGGACAACTGGCCCAGATTTCTGCTTGCCACGAGCTGCAAACACAGGATGGAATAGTCCCTTGCAATTCTCCAGGGTGTTGGTGGGTCTGGGTCACACAGGGCTCAGACAGAGGGGGTGGAGTCCTGAGATTCAAGGAGAAATAACCAGATCCTTAAAGCCCTGTCTCTGCTGTCTAGAAGATGTGTGATACTCTGCTTTAGCAGATGTGATGACTTCCACTCCATGGAAGGCCCATATTAGTCCCAAACACTCAGAGATCTGCCCTGAAATGTGACTCTCACCTGTGCCCTTTCTGATATTTAGTGTAAAAGATGGCTATTATCCCTTCAAACACCTCATCCTGTGAATCACCCTGTGCTCTCAGCTTCTGCCTGAGCACCCTGAGCTTTAGGCTGCCTGAATGGCCAGGGTGACGCCATTTGATCCTTCCTAACCACATCTTCCTCCTCTCTGAAGAGAAGGGAAAAGAGAAAGCCCTGCATCTCCAAACGTGCCATGAAGCCAAGTTCCCTAATGTAAAATATCCTGTGACCCATCAAGAGATGTCCAGAGCAATGCCATGGAATTAACTCTGCCCTTTGAGCCTCACATGTTCCTTCTGTTTTCCTTCCCCATGACGGGTATTTTCATTCACTTTTCACGTCATCAGTAAAACCTGACCTTCAGCACCGCGCACTGGGTTGAGCTGCTTAATTTGGAAGGTGGTTGTCTCATCCTGGGCTGTCTCAGCCACACTGGGATGGATTTTGCACCCTGCCTAGGATCAGCACCTACTCCCAGCCCATCCTAAGCAGAGTCCCATTTTGCTTGTGGTTTCAGACACAGGAACTCTGCAAACCAGGGGGGGCTTCACTTTCAGTCAACGTTTTGCAGAGTCCCTGAAAGGCACATTCAGCATCCTGGGAAGAGGGGAAGATGGAGACAGTGTGGGAAGAACATCAACCATCACAGAATCACAGAATATGCTGAGTTGGAAGGAACCCACAAGGATCATCAAGTCCAGCTTTTAGCCCTGCACAGGACTGTCCCCAAAAGTCACACCCTGTGCCTAAGAGTATCATCCAAATACTTCTTGAGGTCTGACAGCCTCGATGTGGTGACCACTGACCTGGGGAGGCTGTTCAGTGGCCAACCACCCTCTGGGGGAAGAAACTTTTCCTGAGATCCAACCTAAACCTGCCCTGGCCCAACTCCAGTCCATTCCATGGGTTCTGTCACTTGATCAACACAGAGCAGAGATCAGTGCCTGCCCCTCCTCTTCCCCTCAGGAGGAAGTTGCAACCACAGTGAGGTCTCCCCTCAGTCTCCTCTTCTCCAGCTGAACACACCAAGTGACCTCCAGCATCTGGGAATTCTGAAATCACCGGTGGAGCACCAGCCTTGCTGAAGCTGCTGCAAATAAACCAATGTCCCCCTGAAGTAATAACCATTCCAAAGCCTGCAGGAGCACATTCCCACAGCTGTGCCGAGTCACGAGCTCCTCGCTCCCAGCAGGAATGTTGTGTCTGTGCTCTTTGGAGGAGGGACCTCGCCGAGCTCAGCCACTGCATCCGGCTGAGCTCCTGGATTCCCATGGCGAAGGAGTTAAGAGGCTGATGAGAGCCACGGGAGGAGGAGATGCCACGTGTTGTGGGGCTCAGTCTGAGGCAGCATCAAAATGCAGATATAACAGCCTGAGCTCCCGCTGTAGCCAGTGGGACTTGATTTGGCTGTCAGATCCTGAGCATCTTAGAGAGCCATCTCCAGGTGCTCCAAAAGGAGGTAGGGTTTTGCACCTTATCTGCTGAACCCATGCAGATCATAGAATCACAGAATCATACAATGGGTTGGGCTGGAAGGGATCTTTAAAGGTCATCTAGTCCAACCCTCGTGCAGCAAGGAGGGTCATCTTCCACTAGCCCACGTTGCTCCAAGCCCTGTCCAACATGGCCTGGAACAATTCCAGGGATGGGGCAGCTGCAGCTTCTCTGGGCAACCTGTGCCAGGGCCTCACCTTCCTCAACGTATCAGAGTATCTGAAGTGGTACCAAACACCGGTGTTTGGGTGACTGAATCAGCCCCACGTGTGATGTGAAGTTGAAACTCGCCCTTTACACTTTCTGCTGCTCCTTTCCATACAAAGCTGTGAACAAAATGGACCTGAGCACCCTTGCAGGATGGTTTGTGGATCCCAGACTGGGAACAGGAGGGTCTGACAACCAGAGCTTCCCAGGATGAGCTACAGTTGTGCTCATGGGGCTCTGAGCAACCTGGTCTAGTGGAAGGTGCCCCTGCCCATGGCAGGGCTTAGAACATAATGAGCTTTAAGGTCCCTTCCAATCCAAACCATTCTGTGAAGAGCAAATTAAAGCTTTCCAGCTTTAGTGCTTTGCTTTGGTCAGCAGCTCCCAAGGGAACAATAACCAGTCATGAAGAAGGACAGGGAAGCTCTGCCACACTCACTGCAGCAAACTAAATTCTGACCTGGGGTGAAATACAGAATTGGCTGTAATGACAAGGTAAGGATTAACACTGGCAGCAGGAAGCTGAGAGATTGGTCCTGTCACTGTTTGAAAGATGCAGGAGAGTTTAAAGAGTCGATGGGGTCTGGAAAGGAGGTCCTGCAGGACAGGAAGTATTTTGGGTGCAACCACAGTAGTAAAAAGATCAGGTTTCCTCTTCTCTGCTGATTCCTGGCCCCCAGGCACCCACTGGCAGATATGTTAGTCATTAATTCCTGGACTTCCTCCTGCAGGATTGTCTGTCCTCAGTGCAGCTGCAGCTTACACCATGTTTGGCTCCTTCCCTGAGCAGTCCTTGTGCTGTAAAAATCCCACACAAACCCTAAGCCATGTCCCAGGCATGCAAAGCACCCTCTTGGGCTTGTGCCAGATGAGCCCAGCTCTGATGGGCTGCAGCCTGGCCTGCTCAGTTTTCCAATGTCTTTGAAATTAAAACACCATCATCATCTTCAACAGCAGGAATAAAAGTTAATAATAGTAATAATAGTCATAGAAATAATAATAATAATTACAATAATCATAATAGTGGTAGTGGTGGTAGTAGTAGTAGTAATGGTATATAGGTGTTGTCTGGGTTGTATTCTTCATAGAATTACAGAATCATTTAGGTTGGGAAAGACCTCAAAAGTCATCGAGTCCAACCTTTGGCCTTAATGTTTATTATCTATTATGTTCATTATTTATTATTTTGGAACTTAGGGTCACATGGATACCACAGAGGAGCCAAAGGAGGTCTGGGGCCAGTTATTAAGGAGTGTGAATTAAGTGGGTCTCAAACTCCAGCAGGACTTGTGCTGCTGTGCACTGAAGACACAAATCCCAGCAACGCCTCCCTGCACCCACCAGGGACCAAAAATCACTCCTTGGAAAAGCATCCTGAGCTGTGCAGTGAAGTTTGGTGACTAAGACATGTCCTGCAGAAATGAGCCATTCCTTTGCCCTTCCCTTGAGGTTTTATTGCCCCGTTGAAGACGTTTCAGGGCTGTTTCTCAGCTGTTCAGCTGCAGGACTGATAGAACCTAAAGGACTTCTCAGTCTGTCTTCTGCCTGATGAAGAAGAATCTTCTGCTCTTCTGAATTTTTCCTCACAGTCAAGAAAACATTCGGAAGAATGACCTTCCCATTTGTGCTTCTCTTGCTCTGCATTTAAACCAGCAGGTTTTTCCCGGAGCTTTGTGGCACTTGGAAGGATTTTAGGCTCTCCCAAACTCTGCTTGTAAAGCTTTATGATCACTGAAACAGAGCAAATATCCACAGAGGAGGTTTTTTCTTTTGCTGTTTTTCACAAATGCAAACGGTTTCCCAGCGCAGTGCAGGGAACTGCTGATGCTGGGATGGGGAAACAGCAGCCAGAGAGGGGTTTATGTCACTAAACTTTCCCCTCCCATGCCTGATTAGGGTTTCAGAGTCACTGTGGACAGCCCTGCTTCTGCTTAGGATCCTGCATGACACATCCTTACTTTTAAATATATAGAGCCCTGCCTTTGCAGACATTAAAACGGGCAGTCTGTCAACCCAGGGTGATGTATTGGACTTGTAACAACTTTCAACAACTTACCCCGGAAATCTGATCCAGACAAAGGGAAAAACCCGCTGCTCAGGCTGTATCGAATCACACTGGCACGGGCTGGAGGTGCTGCTCAGTAGCAACATCTAGTGATGCTTTTGTGCACTAAAAACCAACCCTACGGTTTAGATTATCACGGAGAGAATAAAGGTTTGGGGGGAGTGGACTGTTGAGCAGCCCCCTTGGGGTCAAAAGGCACATGATTCCAGATTGACCCCATGATTCTAGATGGGAATCTCTGGATGTGGTTTAGCTGCAGTCCCAAGTTCTTGGCTGAACGAGATGATTCTCCTCAGCCCCCCTTCTCCACCTCCCAGCTGAACCACTGCCCTTGGCACAAGGTTTATAAGGGATAACAGGGACAAAGGGATCTTGGATAAGGCTGAGAAGGGACACATATTTCTTGGACTTATTTCTCCCACCAAAATTCTGGTTGTGCTGGTGGAGTGGTTCAGCCCCTTGTCAGTCCTGTGTTTCTACAGGCCAGTGAGATTGCAGTTACCTGTTTCATCCAGCTGAAAATGGCTTTATACAGCTTTAAACTGCCAGAGGGCAGGGTTAGGTGGGATATTGGGAAAGGATTTTTGGCTGTGAGGGTGGTGAGGCCCTGGCACAGGTTGCCCAGAGAAGCTGTGGCTTTCCTATCCCTGGAAGTGTTTAAGGCCAGGTTGGATGGAGTTTGGAGCAACCTGGAGTAGTGGAAGGTGTCCCTGCCCATGGCAGGGAGGTTGAAATGAGATGGTCTTTAAGGTCCCTTCCAACCCAATCCATTCTGGGATTTCGTGATTCCGTGAGGTGCTGGGGTTGACAGAACTCAGATGGGAGATACAGAACTGTGGAAAGACCATCATGAGCTAAGGAGCATCTGATTGCTCTGTCTGGAGACGTGTTATTGATTCCAACAGTGCTTCCATGGGGTTACTGGCCATGGCATAGGCAGGTCTTACTAAACAAAGCCTTGCCAGAACCAGTTAAGCTCTGATGAACCTTTATCCTCTCCACTCGCCTTGGAGAGAGGGAAGTCTTTGCAGCCCTGACAAGGCATCAGCAAGGGCTGGGAGAGGTGTCTACAGCTGAGCAAAGAGGAGGGAGCTGCTCCCTGAGGAAGCTGCTGATTGTCCTCACAATTCCTCCTGCTCATTCTCCAGGTGCCTATTCCCTGTCCGTGAGAGACAGCAGCTCTGCCCAGGGGGACACCATCAAACACTACCGGATCCGCTCCTTGGATGATGGGGGGGGATATTACATCTCCCCCAGGATGACGTTCTCCAGCCTGCCAGAGCTCATCCAGCATTACTGCCGTGAGTTGTTCGCCTTCCCTAATGGATTTGTGTCGTAGAAGAAACTGGGAGTAGAGGGAGGAGAGTGTCTCCCATAAAGAAAGACATGGGACATACAGGAGGGATGCTTGAGAAGCAGGGTTTGGCCTAACTGGGCAGGATAATTTGCTCCTCTGTGGCTCCCTTTGAGCTTTTTCCTTTCACTGGGTCCGTTTTGGGTGCCTTTGGATCCCTGTGGCTGAAACATTTTAGGGAATGATAGAATTATTAAGGTTGGAAAAACCCTCTAAGATCCTTAAATCTCTCAGGGATGGTGACTCCACCACTGCCCTGTGTGGTTGTGGAGGTTTTCCCATGGGCTGGTTATTCCTGGCATGTGTAAATGGAGGAGGAGGAGGAGGAGTTTAGCTCTGCCACCCCATTGAACTGTCCTGTGCTTCATCCTCATACAGAGAGAGGGGATGGCCTGTGCCAGCGCCTCACAGCTCCCTGCATATCCCTGGTTCCCCAGAGACCCTGGGCACAGGACGAGTGGGAGATCCCACGGGAGTCTCTGAAGCTTGTGAAGAAGCTCGGCAGTGGGCAGTTTGGGGAAGTGTGGATGGGTGAGTATGATTTCTCCATTCCCAGGGAAGAAATGCATAAAGAGAGGAGGAGATGGAAAGCCCTCTTTCTCTAAGATTATTCCAGGAATGGGAATCCTTAAGTATGAACACTTATTTATGGGGACACACAGAGCAGGAGATGCCATATTCCTGGAAAGGACTGGAAAACTTGTGTTTGCACAGATCAGTGGTTGAGCAAGGGTTTCACAGGCTGGATACATGTGATGGGGTGGAAGTAGCTGCATACTCATCTCCTGAGAAATGCTCTTATTCTTCCTATGAACCCTGGGCATGGTTGTAGGTTACACACAGCAGGGTACCTGGGTGACATTTCCCCACTTTTTCTGTTTCCCTGTTCCTCTTTTTAACCCAGACCTTAATCCCTGATGCCCTCCTGCCTACTGCTAATCAGTGGGAGAGGAAGTGGAGTGAGCTCAGCTTCCTCTGCTGTCCTCTCTGTGGTTACTGGTTGCCTTGGCAATTGAGACTGTGGACAGGACCAGGCTGAGTTCATGTCCTGACTGCAGGGCCCTGGCTTTTTCCATGGCATTTTGGATCATGTGAGAGCCCAGCTGGTGGGAGGCCCCAGGGGTCTCACCCAGAAAGAGTCTTGCAGGGCTGGGAGGACCATGTGAGGATGGGCTCATTCCACAGGCAGGGATGATCCCTGATGCAGTCACAGGGATTGACAGTTGTGTCTCCCTTCTCCTCTCATAGCTGCTGGCACTGGGATTCATCACATGTTTCTTTATGAGAGATCCAGGCTGTTGCTGTGGTTTTCTGCTCCCTGATCCCTGAGTTCTTATTGCCCAGCCTGAGAGCCCACAGAGAGCCCCAAATTCCTCAAAGCATCATTCTCTCTCTGCAGGCTATTACAAGAACAACATCAAGGTGGCTGTGAAGACCATGAAGGAGGGCAGCATGGATCCTGATGCCTTCTTGGCAGAGGCAAACTTGATGAAGAAGCTCCAGCACAACAAGCTGGTCCGGTTGTATGCAGTGGTCACCAAGCAGCCCATCTACATCGTGACAGAGTACATGGCCAATGGTAAAAATCCTCACTGAGGGCTGTGAAGGGGGGTTTTGTACCAAATCTGTAAGCAGAAGGACTAAGAAACCCAAAAGTTTGTTTCTACTACACAAAGGGACTTTTTGGGTGATGAGAAAAAGCTACTTCACGTAACGGTGATGTCGCATTTGAAAAGCACTTGAAGTTCTCATCTCCACTGTTCCTACTGCAAGTTTGTGTCAGGTTTTTACTCCCCTCATGATGAATTTGTCTTTTCTTCTGTCCTTCTTTGTCTATAACGATTTGAGTGATCATTGCCCAGCAGTTTGCAAAAGGTCTGTGCAAAATAGAGGGGAAATTGAGCTGAGTTTGGGGACATTTCTAATGGGCAGATGCTCCAGGAGGCACCCATTCTGGCTCCTCAGATTTTCTATAGGATGCAGACATTCTATTCTGAGAAGCACCAGGGAAAGCAAATATATAGATGTATTACTTAGATTTATTATTCATGATTTATTAGATTTATAGAAGAGTTTCATCAGAGTCTCCTCTTTCTTTTTTGCAGGGTGTTTGCTGGATTACTTGAAGACAGAAGAAGGAAGCCAGCTGAATCTCCCCAAACTCATTGACATCGCTGCTCAGGTCAGTGAGCAGCCGCTGGGAAACGGGCTCAGGGGTTTGTTATGGCCTCAGTGAAATTCTTTGAAGTCTGTCAGGGTGTGGATTTCACGGAGGAAAACAGCTCCTCCTGGTGTGTCCTCTTAGGATTTCTCTCCAGCCCAGTCGTGTCGATGTGCCTGTGGGCTCAGCAAAGCTCAGCTGTCCTTGGGACAGCCCCGGGGAGCTTTGTGCAGTGCTAGAGATCTGAAGTTTGGGGGGGTTTTACGGGAGTTGGGCTTGTTTTGATCTGTTTTTCTTTGTTTTGCTGAGCAGGGAACAAGTTTGTTTTTCTTTTAACAAAAAGGAAAAGAAGCTCAACAAACAGATTTTTAATGTAAACACACACTGGCTTTCAGCAGTTTTTCCCTTCTGATGATGAGGCATAAAGCATGTTCTGACCCTCAAATCTGGGAAAATTGTCCCTCATAAGAACAAACCTTTACCTTTGTAGGGTTGTTTCCCTCTAAGCTGTAAATCTTAATAGTTGCAGCTGGACAGTAACATTTTAGTCCAGAAATGACTCTAAACACAAAAAGGTCAAAATTAGGGAAACCATACGAAGGATGAGGATGGCAAAATCACTCCACTTTGATCCTAGCCAGATGCTGACAGAGTTTGGCTCACCCAGAGCAAAGTTAGGCTAATTAGGAAATATTGGGAAAAAACCATGAAGCATCAGTCTGAGTACAACTGAATAAAGGACTGGGATTTATCCATAAAATCACTCAAACTCTGTGGGTCAGACTGAGCCTGAGGAAACAATGGTTCCAGCTATTATACAAAGTTATTTTTTTAATGAATTAAAAACTGGAGGATCTTAATATTTGAGCAAATGTTTTGTGATGGTAAAAGGCTTTCCTTCTTGCTTTAACCAGGGTGAAAATATTTAAATACTTTAAAGCAGTGCCACCTTCTGTCATTTTTGCTTTGCGCCATTCAAAGGGGTGGAGAGGAACATTTTTCTGTTCCTTTCTTCTTCACTAATGGTAAATCTTCCATATCTTCAGCTTCATAATTGTTGATTGTGGGAGGTTATGGGGCCAACTACACCCTCCCTTAAATTAATTAAGAAATTAGTTTCTTGATTTCTCTTAATTTCTCCCCTCCTTTTCTCTTTACCTCCTCACTTCCCTCCATCCCTTTTTCATTCTTTCATTCCCTCTCTTGAAAGTTGCAGCCTGAGGGTGTGTTTTAAGTTCTTGATGATAAGGAAAATGACCCAAATTCATATTACAGACCCCTTGGGATTAGTGGGAGCATTCCCTAGAAGTTGGTTTGATGCTTTTCTATGCCAGAAGAAAGCGCAGTGGCCAGAACAGTCTGCACGGGGGTGACCCAGAGCAGTGTTGTAGAATCACAGAATGGTTTGGGTTGGAAGGGACCTGAAAGCTGATCTCATTCCAATCCCCTGCCATGGGCAGGGACAGCTCCCACTGTCTCAGGTTGCTCCAAGCCCTGTCCAACCTTGCCTTGGACACTTCCAGGGATGGGACACCCACCATTTCTCGGGCAAACTGCACCAAACACCAGGACCAGGATAACTGAACACAGATCAAATCCCCCCACCCCAATGATGTAATAACCCATAGAAGTCACCCCCAGCATGGGGGTAGGAAGGATTTTGCCCACCCCTGAGGAATGGGTGTCAATTGGAAGGGTAGCTTTCCTCCTTTGCCCTCCCACCCCAGCACCACCTCCCCAGGGAATGGATTCAAACATTCACAGGGTATCTTCCAGGAGGAGGAGGAGGAAAGGGCAGAGTTCTGAGCTATTGTGCAACGTGTTTTATCTGTGGTGCTGGGCTGACATCACAGCCCAAAGGCACCAGACCCTCTCAGTCGCAATATTTGATCCAGTGACATCCGTCAGAGCTAAAATTAGAAATCTCTGGGCTGAGGCACTTGATCCTGTGGTCAGTCTCGAGGGTAAATGCTTGAGAACACTCTGGGCTGGAGCAGGCCCATCACCAGGTACTATCTCATTAACATCAGGGCAGGAAATTACCTCAATTCTTCCATTTTCCACTGCAGCAAACAGCACTCACGCTGGAGGGGTGTTGACATAGGTTAGAAATGCAGCATTGGAAAGTTTGTGTGAGTATCCTGTTTGAAACCACATGTAAGCTGAGATGATGATGTGAATCTGAATGGAGTGGAAAATTGCTCTGCCCTCACCCACAGGCACATCAAAGCTCTAATTGGTGCTAACCATTGCTAGCAGGGACTGCATGAATCCAACTCCCCAGTAAATGCCCAACCCAAATCTCAAGACTCAACCCTGCAGTCTCTTTTTTTATCAATCTCTCTTTTCAAGATCTCAGCACTCACCAATCAAAGATTGCTGCTGCCATTTATAGAGGCTCATCACACACCAGGCACCTCCATTGGATATTAGGAAGAAATTCTTCCCTGTGAGGGTGGTCAGGCCATGGCACAGAGGAGCTGTGGCTGCCCCATCCCTGGAAATGTCCAAGGCCAGGTTGGATGGGGCTTGGAGCAACCATCAACTAGATGATCTTTAAGATCCCTTCCAATCCAAACCACCTTGTGATTCTATGATTCCATGGTGACCTCCCTGCTCCAAGGAGATAAATATTGCAAGATGGTCTTGGGAGCAACCTCCTAAAGTATAATTTGCAGATGGTTGAAGAGGGCAGGGCACACGATTTTTCATATTTCTGTGGATATCTGTGTCTTCTGATCCTGTAGGTATCAGAGGGGAAAACTGTGTTGTAGGGAGCTGGGGGTGTTCAGCCTGGAGAAGAGAAGGTTCTTGAGAGATCTTAGAGTCCCTTCCAGTGCTTAAAGGGGCTCCAAGAGAGCTGGACACAGACTTTGGACAAGAGGCCTGGAGAGACAGAACAAGGGGGAATGGCTTCCCACTGCCAGAGGGCAGAGTTAGATGGGATTATTGGGAAGGAAATCTTCCATGTGAGGGTGGTGAGGCCCTGAAAAGGGTTGCCCAGGGAAGCTGTGGCTGCCCCATCCCTGGAAGTGTTCAAGGCCAGGTTGGGTGGGACTTGGAGCAACTTGGGATACTGGAAGGTGTCCCTGCCCATGGCAGGTAGATGATCTTTAAAAGTCCCTTCCAAGCCAAACTAATCTCTATTATTAGCCTTTTCCTCTTCTTAATTAACATATTGATTCTGGAGTCTTTATGATTAAAATCCCCACCAGAGAGGAGAGACTTGTGGCAGAAACTGGGAATCCAGTGATGTGGTTTCAGCTTTGCTTCAGCCTTCTGCCTCTTGCTGCAGACAAGACACAGCTCACAGCTGGAACTCCTGAGCAAAACAGAGAGTGGTGCTTTTGTTCTGCTCGACTCGTCTGCTCAAAGCTTTCAGGCCCTGTCTGTGCTGGCAAAGCTGAATGTAGATGGGAATGTACAGCTGGAATGTACAGAGCACATGTACATGGGAAATATCTGTTTATTAATGTTTCTGTCTGTCTGTTGATCCACCTGCCCATCCGTCCACCCACGGAGCTCTTATTCATCTCCATGCACGTGGAAGCACGTGAGCAGCCCCGTGCTTTGTAAAGGTGGGGAAAGGGCAGCACAAAAGGCAGTCATGGGACGGGGGAGGTGATGATGAAGATGGACTCTTCCTCCTCTCCAGGTGGCAGAGGGGATGGCCTACATCGAGCGCATGAACTTCATCCACCGCGACCTGAGGGCCGCCAACATCCTCGTCTCGGAGAGCCTCTGCTGCAAAATCGCTGATTTTGGGCTGGCCAGGATCATTGAGAATGAATACCTGGCACAGGAAGGTGGGTGTTGTTCCCAGAATTGCCTCACCGGCACATTCCCCTTATCTCCCATCCCCTTGCCATGCAGACATTCCAAGATCCCGGGCTGGGATCAGGCACTGGGTGCTGATGGTGTGAGACCTGAGCCCAGAGTGCTGCTGCTGTCGGCACCCAGGCAGGACACAGAGAGAGAGAAAGAGTCAAAAACTGGCCCCTCAGAGAGGCAGCAGCAGTTGGGGAGAATAAAGAACAGACAAGGCTTGCAGAGGGAAATGGGAAGAAATCTTTTGGCACTGTTTGGAGGAGGCTGCGGAATCTCAGGTCGGTTTGCTGGAGAAACATGACCTCTGCTAATGAAACCTGCTGTGCCCACGTGCTCACAGGGAGCCAAGCCCACAGGGAAGGAAATAGCAGGAGAACTTGATCATTGCCCTGCAGAGGGGAGCTGGAGCCATGAAAGTGGACCCAGCAGCAGTTTCCAGGTGTCCCAGGCAAAGCAAGCCCAGACTGGATCAGGTCCCTTCTATAACAAAGGACAGCTTAGAAAACACAGGATTATGGAATGGTTAAGGTTGGAAAAGACCTCTAAGATCAGTGAGCTCTGAGGTCGGATATGAGATCAAATTATTCATATTGCAAAGAGATTTTGTAGACCATCAGGGAAAGAAGCAGAAGGGATCAAAATAAAACAATTAAGTCTGGCATAAGTGGGACTTGCTGGAAGATTCCTCCTCTAGAGTGGGGATGAAATGAAAATTCCCCATAAAAGCATTCTGGGGAAAGAAAATTGATTTTTGAGGGTTTTTTTTGTGAGATAGGAAACTTTGCTTTCAGTTTCCTGTCCCCAAAAACCACTTAATTATAACAATTATACCCATTTCAACATGCAAAACTATTTCAGAGTAGTAAAAGCTCCCATGTATAATTTGCAAAATGTGATGAAGGGGGACTGTGACTTTGCTGCAATTTTTGAGGCAGTTTTTATCCTTAAGAGAATCTTAGATGAAATCAGTATAACTCTGTTAATAACCAAAAGAGGTATTTTTCCAGTGGAAAACAGCTTCCATCAGCATTTTCCCAGCTAATTTTACTCTGAAATAACAGCTGCCCCTCTGTCTGCTTTGAGCAATTTTCACTTCATAGATTGCATTTCCGAGCCTACGTCAGTCAGAGTGTGATGTGCAACAGCCAAGGCACTTCTTTCACACCCTGCAGTTGGATTTTCAGTCCTGAAGGGATGTATATAAATAAAAATGTGGTTTCCTCTATGGTCTAACAACCATCAGTTCCCACTTATCAAGGTGGTTTGAGCTGGTTTTTTTTTTTTTAGTCTTTTTTTGGTCTTAGCTAAACTGAAACAGCAATCTTATGGTCACTGCTGTCCCCAGTGGGCTAAACAAGAACCTGGTGGACAAAACAGAATGGGAGCTATTTTGGTCCAGAGGAGGCCATGCCGATGATCCAAGGGCTGGAGCCCCTCTCCTGTGAAGAACCACAGAATCATAACCAACAGAAACCAGGGATCAGTTCTTTGGAACTGATTGCTGTGCCTGTGGCACATGAGGGAGCTGCTCTAACTCCAGCTGCTGTTTCCCTTCGTTTCCTCCGGACAGGTGCGAAATTCCCGATCAAATGGACGGCACCAGAGGCCATTAACTACGGAGTTTTCACCATCAAATCTGACGTGTGGTCCTTTGGGATCCTCCTGACAGAGATCATAACCTATGGCAGGATCCCTTATCCAGGTACAGTGCACTGGGAATACAGGATGAGTGTCCATGGACTTCCAAGGATCTGGTGATGCTTTAGGCCTGGAGGCACTTATTGAAGTGTGGACAGACACACACAACTGTCTCTTAGAATCACAGAATCATTTAAATTGGGAAAGAACTCAAAACTGAGACCCAACCATTAACCCAGCACTGCCCAGCCCAACACTAACCCACGTCCCCAAGTGCCACATCCTCACATCTTTTAAATCCCTCCAGGGATGGCGATTCAGCCACTTCCCTGGGCAGCCTGTACCTGGGCTAGACAACCCTTTCAGGGGAGAAATTTTTCCTAATATCCAATTTAAACCTCAGCTGGTGCAACTTGAGACTGTTTCAGTCTTGTCCTGCTGCTTATTACATGGGAGAAAAGACTGACCTCCACTTGTCTCCACCCTCCTGTCAGGGAGTTCCAGAGAGTGAGAAGGTCCCTCCTGAGTCTCCTTTCCTCCAGGTTGAGCTTCCCCAGCTCCCTCAGCTGCACCTGGTGCTCCAGCCCCTTCCCCAGCGCTGTTCCCTTCTCTGGACACGCTCCAGCCCCTCAATGTCTTATGATGAGGAGCTCTTCACGCTGGGTTTCCTTTTCTGAGAGTCCCACAAGCCTCAGTTATACCTGTGCTAAGCCAAACTTGCAGGGGGGAGTCAGGGAGGGGACAAAGGGACGGAGGAGGGATTACAGTCCTGGAGAAGGGATTATTCTGTAGCCTCTTGTGCCGCTCCGGAGCTGCTTGGAGCACCGACCTTCATCTGCGGGACGCTGAATAACTCCTGCTGGGCTGTCTTTCCCTCCAGGGATGACCAACCCCGAGGTGATCCGCAACCTGGAGCGCGGCTACCGCATGCCCTGCCCGGAGCTGTGCCCCGGCGAGCTCTACAGCGTCATCCTGAAGTGCTGGCGCAGCAAACCCGAGGAGCGCCCGACCTTCGAGTACCTGCAGTCGGTGCTCGAGGACTTCTACACGGCCACGGAGAAGCAGTACGAGCCAGAGCCTCAGCAGTGAAGCCGCCGCCCACCAGCACCCGGCAGCAGGGCTGGAGGGAAGGCATCACCCTGTGGTACTTTTCCCTTTCTCCCGTGTGCCGCCCGCGATGCGCTTGGAGACAGGGAATGAGGAGCGACGCGATGCTGCCGGCTCTTGTGGTTGTCACAGGGACTAAAGAGGCGGCCCAGAGATGTCGCAGCTCCTTCCTCGTCCGCCCCGGAGGTCTGTACCCGCTTTGCAGACGTCTCCTCTGCCGGGAAGGACAGCAGATTCCTTCGTGGCCCACTTGGATACAGAAAAGCCCCTCAGCCCTGCAGCTTGCAGCCCTGGGAAGAAGGGACCATGGCTGGGGTGGTGGTGTGGGGGGGTTGCAGAATCTCCCTCCTCACTTCTGATGCCACTGCTGGCAATACTACAACCCCCTCCGTGCCACGGGCAGGGGTGGGAGCGTGTCCTGTCTGCACCTCCCTGGACCACACCAGGATTCCGAGCCCTGGAGAAATCTCGCCAGGTGATGCCCCCACTCTGTCCCAAGTCATTAATAAAAACGTCGATACCACCGTTTCCCATTTCTTTATGCGGGCATCAAGGTGAGGGTGAGCACCTGTGCTTCCCGTGCCCACCTCCATCCCAGGGAGAAGGGAGAGGCTGCGGGGCTTCCCGGGAAGCACGGGATGAGTACCCGGGGTGGGAAATGAGGGATTCCCGAGGTGCAGCCCACCGGAGGCAGGAGAGACGTTCTTGATGGGACCACAAGATGTCCCTCCTTCCCAGCAAATCCGGGCGGGTCCTGGGAATTAAAAATATATATAATAAAACACTCAGAAATAAAACCCCCTCCTTCTTGGCTGAGCCTTCACTGCACAGGCTCCTGGTGCTTGTAGATTTTGAGTCCAATTGCAGAGGGTGCATTTAACAGTGTGACAGGGATGCAACGAGAAAGAAACAGTAGAGATGAAATGAGAAATCTCCAGGGAGACCTTATAAACTTCAAAGGGGGCTTATAAAAAAGGTGGGGACAGAATTTTTGGCAAGGCCTGTGGAATAGGACAAGGGATGATGGTTTTAAACTAAAAGAGGTTGATTCAGAAGAGTTATAAGGAAGGAATTTTTTACAATGAGTCTGGTAAAACACTGGCACAGGTTGCCCAGAGAAGCTGTGGCTGCCCCATCCCTGCAAGTCTCCAAGGCCACGTTGGACGGGGTTTGGAGCAATCTGGAATAGTGGAAGGTGTCCCTGTCCATGGCAGGAAGGTTGGAACTGGATGATCTTTAAGGTCCCTTCTAACCCAAACCATTTCATGATTTTATGACACATCTGCCAGAAAAAATATCAGACCATCCCCAACACAGGACACAGAATTACCTGTTCATGCCACTGCTGCAAAAGAACCTGGGATAGGAAAAGGACTAGGAAAATTCTCCACAAATTGTAGGGACAGCTGGGCAGCAACATCAGTCCAAGGCCTTGATCATCAGTGCCAGAATGTCCCCATCTGTCACCTGTAATGAGACAAAATCCCCCTCCCTGATGCCAACATCTCTTCCCAAGCGTATTCCCATGGGATAATGTGCTTGTGTTGGCATGAATGGCATTTTACCTGGCTTTAAATGCTATTTATCCCTCCCTTTGCAGACCCACAGAAAAAAATCTCCCAGACTGAGGAAGAAGGGTGAGATGATCCAGCCTCAGCAATCCTAGATTGTGGGGTGTCCAGGATTTTTCCATGGGGCTGGTGGATAGAGGTCTATGAACTCTAGAACTGAACAGGAGCTGAATGGGAAACACTGGACTGTGTAAAAGATCTCCATCTTCACAACCTGCACCCCAAGAACACAGTGCTAGTAAGACCTAGAACTAATTTAAGATGAATCAGGTTTGGTTCAGTTCCTTCATGGTGCCCAAGGGACAAGTTACATGTACTGTAATTATAAAAAAAAAATTTTACACAAAAATAAAGCCATTTATTCAATAATTTCACTGGACCTGAAGGCACAGTCTTGAACTCCATCTTGGCCTTTCCCAGCTACCAGGAACTCTGTGCAGGACTTGCAGATTTCTGTTAATGAGATGATAGGCAGAAAATAAATACAGATGGAAGTTATTTGACTCCTTGGCTGTTAATATTTTATGGAAGTGAAAACTGTGGGCTATTTGTGCTGGAACAAACCAGGAAGAAGAGTTGCAGGGTGTCTGCCGAGCGCTTGTGCATTGCATTATCACCCAAGGCCAAAGTGTCAAGTATTGTAGCTCAATTTAGAAAGGAAATGGATATTTTTATGGCCAGTGGCAGCACGTGACAAGCCCAGGGTGAACATAACAAGAGGCTGTAGGCTCTGCTTCCTCTACACCAGACACCACAGCCTTTTTTGTTCATGCTGCACAAACGTGTTCAGCTTGTTCCCTGGGGCAGACACTCACCTGGCTCCATAGTCTCCTCCATGAAGCCCTGGAAGAAGCCACAGGAAACTCTTGCTTAGAGGAGTGGGCTGGGGCTGTGCCACCAGGGTGAGCCTCTCCAGGGGATGGAGGGAGAGGTGAGATCCACGAGCAGCCATGGTTTCACACGATATCCACCAAAACCACTGGGAAATGGGTTTCACAGCTCCACCACAGCAGGGACAGAGCAGCTGGAGAGAAAAGGAGCTGCAGTCCAGCCTCCACCCTAGACATGTAATCAGGAATTTCGGTAAAAAAAACAGGTGTGAAGTGGGATGCTGTCCTCTGTGACCTCCAGCCCTGGAAGTTCTGGGGAACCAGGATGTCTCCAATGCCACCACAAAGCTCTGGAAGAGCCCCTTCAGCCCCATACCAACCTGGCAGCCTAAGAGGTGTCTGCTTCACCTGGGGTGAGCTCCAGCCAGAGGCTCCCAGGTGAGTGTCAGAGCAGGAGAAATGTGATAAAAGTGATCCAGGCTCTCAAATTACTGGAGCTGCGAGATGGGCTTGGTCAGCTGGTGTAAAGCAAAAGCAAAGCAGGGATATATCAAAGTTGTGTCACAGAATCAGAGATTCCTGGAATGGTTTGGCTTAGAAGGAAACTTAAACATCATCTTATTCCAACCCCCTGCCATGGGCAGGCACAACTTCCACTATCCCAGGTTGCTCCAAGCCCTGTCCAGCCTGGCCTTGGACACTTCCAGGGATGGGGCAGCCACAATTTCTTCATAGGCAAGAATTTCTTCCTGAATATCTAATCTAAATCTACCCCCCTTCACCTTAAAGCCATTGCCTCATGTGCTGAGATTTGGGCTTTTTTCAATGCCAACCCATGCTGGCCTCTTGTTTGGTCCTGAGCAGAGCAGCACTGAGCAGAGGCAGCTCACCAACATGCCCTCTGCCATGTGGCAGGAGCTCAGGACCTCTCCCAGGGTGATAAAGTGAGGATCCAAGTGTCTCCACCTTCTGTGCAGGGCAGGGTGCCTGGAGCTTGCCACGCTGCCCCTGAAAATCGAGGCCTGGCTGCCAGGGGAGGGAGGTGGTGAGGAGCCCTCACCTTGCTCTGTTTTCCCTCCACCCACACACAGCAGAGCAAATACCTGGCAAATACTGCAGAGCAAACAAGGGCATCATTGTCCTGCCAGGCTGAGCTCTGGGCTCTCAGCTGCCCCACCAAAGGCAGCAATGCCCACTTTTTGCCTGAAGGGCTCCCCCCGTGACCAGGCAGCTGGTTAGCCCAGTGCTGACAGCCAAGGGAGACTTCACCTCCATTGCTTCCCCAAGGAGCCCTGGCTCAGAGCATTCCTAAGGCTGATGGAGCTCCAAGTGGGGCCTGAAAAGCCCTGAAAAGGTGGGTGGCCATCCCTGAGCACCCCAACCGAAGGAGAGGTTGGGGCCATGTGTCACAGCCAGGCTGTGTGTGCGTGGCAGAGGGCAGAGGTGTGTTACTGGTGGGAAGCAGAGAGAGAATCCACAACAAATCTGCCCAAAGTCTTCTCCAACCCCCACTGGCTGCTCAGTGCAACATCTGCCATCTCTGCCAGCAGCCAGGAAAACCCTCCATGGATAACAGGGCTTAAGAGGACCATTTTCCTTAAACACTCAGGGCCCGTGGCTGCTCCAGAGAGGTCTGTGGGACATGTCAGACACTCCTTTCAGTCCTGCTGGGCTGCAGGCAGAAGGGCAGGAGCTGTTTCTGGATGATTGCCCATCCCTCAGTGGTTTGAGTCAGGTGTTACAACACCATCCCTGGCTTGGAAAGCCTCTAAATCCCTGATTTCCTTGTTCTGCTCTCCCAGGGCTCTTGCTGCACCCTTCCCCCTGGCATCTGTGGTTGCCCATCACTGGAGACAGGCTGTGACCTGCCATGGGTTCTCCTTTCCTAGGCTGTTTCCAGACCTCCTTTCTCCAGAGTTTCCTTCCCCTCCCCCAGTCTGTTCAAGGTCACTCCCAGTTAAAATTAGCAGCTTATTCAGCACTGGAGGGAAGGGATGACCAATTGCTCTGGCCCTCACAATCCTGGGAGGTGGTGTCAGGGGATCCAGCTCTGACTCTCCTTGGAGGTGAGGGAGCCTGGGCTTGCCCTCCTCGTGGTCATAAGCAAAGGATTTGCAGCCAGCTCACCCTCTCTGCCTTACATCTGAGCTCCAGATCTCTGTCAGCAAAGCAGGAAGGAAGGAGCATTTCCCTGGAGCCTCCAATTCCCACCACCATGCTCTGAATGCCAGATATCACCCTCGTTGTACCACAGCCAAACATTTTACTGGCCACAACTGTCTCTGTGACAGCAAGAGATTTCCCTCAGCCTTTCAAACCTATATTTAACTCATCCTCACCTGAACCTTCTTTCTGGCCTCCTTATCTTTACTTCCTTTTTTTCCAGGGCAGGCTGAAGCCACAGGGTGGAGACAGCAGAAAGGCAGCTGTGGAAGTGGGGTGGGAGTTCTGCTGTGGTCAGTCCCCTGCCCTGGGTTCAGGTTGCTCAGGGTAGGGGTGGTGATGTCTGGTCCATCAGGGAAGGTCACAGATGATGAAGGGAATCAGGGCTTCAATCCCAGCTCGGTGCATGGCCCAAGAAAGCATCCCCAGTGTAACACTCACTTAGCTTTTCCCTTTGTAATAAATGCACCAAAATTCAGCCCCAAGGAGAAAGAATATCCTTCTTTTCCTGGTGTACCAGTCAGGACAACAAAATCCCTTCCAAAGCTTTGAAGAGCACCGGTTTTATTTCAATCTCTCATCCTCTCTTGCAGCTTTCATTCTGACAATAGCCTTTGTTTTGGCTTCATGAGTGCATGAAACATTATTCCATCTGGATTTAGACGTGGTAGTGGTCATCACTTCTCCATCAATTGGAGTAACAGGAAAGTTGGGTGCAATTGCCATCTCATAGTGAAGTCTTTGAAGGATAAAACGGAAATGTGGCTGCCACATCCCTGGAAGTGTTCAAGGCCAGGTTGGATGGGGCTCTGAGCAACCTGGTCTAGTTGAAGGTGTCAAAGCCCATGGCAGGGGAATTGGAACTGGATGATCTTCCAGGTCCCCTTCCATTCTAACCATTCTGAACTATTCTATGATTTTAAAAAAAAATAAATATGATAAAGAAGGTCACAGTCTGA